CACCTCTTTGCAGTTAGTCAGGGCTGGAGTAGACCCTCTCCCATGTCGCCTTCCATATTTGTTTTGGTTCCTCATCTGAGGCTGTGTGCCATGCAAGCAAAGCTATGGTCAGTCCCTGAATATGGCCTGAAGCAGTGCTCAAATAAATACTCCTTCCCATGCCTTGTCTTCCCTGAATTTTTGGGAGGTAGAGGTTAAATAGATTGACCAGAAATGTCAACTTTGCTCTGAAAAAAAAACAAAAAAATGAGGCTCCTGTATAGTATCAGTGAGCCTCATCACTAGAAAAACACCAGACATACACACATACACATATACACATTTACACATATGCACATATATACATACGCATTTATGCATTTACATATATACATATTTATACATGCATACATACACACACTTATATGCATGCATACATACTTATATACATACATACCCATACATACACACATATATGGGCACATACATATAGATACACACATACACAAACACATATACATACACACACATACATATGCAAAGACACCCCCACATGTATATTTGTCTTCCAACCTTCTTGGCTTCACAGCTTGGCCTGTGCAGGCTTTCTTTGCCTTTAAGAAGACAAAATTGTTACCAAAGCGGGAGAAGAATGTCAGACGCTCTGTGTGCTTGCCAGAGAGTTCACTAGAGGACATGCAGAAGGTCAAAGTCCTCCATCACCAGAACAAGTTCAGCCACCAGCCCCCTTAAGCACAGTGCCAAAAGCCTGTGAAAACATGAAACCTTTGAAAATATTATTGGTGCCAAAATTTAAAAACCAAGAATGTATGAATATGTATGAAATCTTTATAAAACATAATATTGTCAGTTTCATTCACTGTCAAATTTAATATTCAAAATAGTCTCATTACATTTATAAAACTTGTCCGATTTCTTCTCTGTGCATGCCGATGGCGGAGATGTCACTCACAGCCAAGTATACATTAAATAACTTTCTTATAGTTCATTTCTAAAGCAAGGTTATAAAAATGCTTTCCAATTATTTAGCGTAATGCATTTAGTGTGAGGGCATTTTAAGATGTTAAGTATCATTGGGGTGTGGCCTCCAGAAAAGAAAGAGCCTGGAACCCGAGATGCTGCAAACAGCCCGGGGCTGGCACAGCTGTGCTGTGTGTGTGACCTGCATCAGGTTACTGTTCCCCTTCCTCCCACACCAGGCATCCTCGCGACAGCTTAAGCTGCGGCTCAGAAAATAAATCCTACTCCTGGCATCAACCACAGAACTGGCTGTTCACATCCCACATCCTCCTCAGCTTTCTGGAATCTCAGCCTTAGGCTGGAAGCAAGGATGAGAGCCATTCCTGAGGAGAGAATGGTCGGACATGAGTTCTCTGAGGACAGGGTCATTTCCTATTTGTTATGCCTGGTCCCTAGGCCAGGGGTGCTGGTGAGTAGAGAAGGATGGGGAGGAAGAGACTGAGCAGGGACCAGGCAGGTAGCTGTGTGCCAGGAGGAGGGTGTGCAGGTGCTTATGAGCTGATCGAACTAAGCGAATTAGTGTCTTAACTGAACTGACAGACACCTGGCAGAGACAGCCTCCTTAGCCCACATCATCTACATTTGAACCTCATGTCTCCATTTCTTCCATCTTTGTCCTCACTCAGAGACACACTCATCTTTGCCTCCCACCTTGTGACACCTGGCTGTGGTCTATATTTGGTATCTCCTTTTGTTCTCACCTTCTGAGCTTTCATGCAAATCACTGGCATGTCAGTGACATATCTGCCCATATTTTGATTAAATGGAGTTACACCTACTAAGTTCCAGGTACCAATCACAGCCATCTCGGCATGTTTGCTCCCAAAGGACACAGACAACACCCAGAGGTTCCTAAAATTGAGTGGAGCAGGTGTGGGTTTCAGCAATGAGACAGAGTTTTAAGATAAACCAACCTCTATTTTGTTAAAAACATAGTTTGGGGACTGCAGGAGGAAAGCAGTGTTTCTCAAAGTTCTAGAAATACTCAGCAACACCCAGAGGGTTTCTTTAAAAGCACCAGCTGGGAACCTGCATTTCAGCCAAGTTCTCTGTGGTTTCAGTCCCTCTGAAGGTTGAGAATCACTGGCTAATGGATGGAGTGGAGACTGGGGCTGTCTTGATCCTTCTGGCTTATTTGGGTTCCAGGGAGTGAGTTGCTTGACTTTTTTTGAACAAGTTCAGCAGATTCATCGGTAGGTCCCTGGCATTCCTTCCTTTGGTTAGCTGAGGCACTGAAAGAGTTAATACAGTTACAGGTCAGGGAGCAACTGAGACACGGCCCAGGGCAGGCGAGTGCCCATCCAGGGTCCAGGTCCACCACCTGAGCATTTCCCAGAGTCAAGTCCAGAGCTGGGCCCAGACTCAACCTGGACACAGAACCACTCAACACAACATTCTGCCAAGTCCCTGGGGTTCTGCTTCTCTTCCAGCGAATCTGCCTTTTGTCTGACCTCACAGAAAACTTCCTCTTCCCTCCCCCATTCTTCTTTGCTCCTTCCCACCCATTTGTGTTTCCTTGGCCCCAGCCCCGTCTAGTCTCTTTCCCAGAGGCCGCGTTGTAAGTCCCCTCGTCTGTCTCCAGCATGTCATACGCCTATGTGAGTCTGTGTTCATGTGCATCTTGGTGCACATGTGTGTACCAACGCGTTTTTAGCTGTCAGGAACAGACCCTGAGCAAGGGAAGGGCAGGGCACTCAAAGTCGAGGCTAAGATTCTCCTCCAGCTTCAGAAAACATTTGGTGTCTGCAGACATGCAGCTCTCCCACCTGTCAGACAGAGCCCAGGGGACACGCTTATAAGACAAAGCTGAAATCGATCTCAGAGAATGGGGGGCTGCTGGGTTTTGAGAGACGCAGTCTTCCTAGCGTCTCAAACCATGGAGGGAAGATAAGCATCCCTCCCCCATGTGCTAAGAAGACACCCCAGTAGGCCCGGAGACGAACAGGCTGCCAGTGCCAGGCAGACCAGGAGAACGGGGCATGAGGTCGGACCTAGTCATGAACCCAGATGGTGCTGTGCGCCAGACAGCATGACCAGGGGAGCTGACGAGGGTGGCAGGACCTCAAAGAGGCAAGTGACCCAGCACCATGCAGCAGGTGGGCATGAGGACTCATGGTGGGCCAGGAGCAGGCGGCCCGAGAGAAGGTGCACTTTAGGGAGTGGAGAGTGTCTAGGAGGGCACTCCCAAAGGAGGCAGCACAGCCACCACCCCAAGGCAGCAGCCCGGGCAGGGACAGAGAACTTTTCTTAGAGACCAGCAGATCCTCATGCCATAATAACGAACCCCCAGACAATGCAGGGAGCCCCCATACTGAGACGTCAGGAGCAGGGAGGTGATGGCAGCCTGGGATGTGGGTAAAGAAGATACCACAGGCCCTGCCTCTGCACCTAGTAGTGAGATCAATGCAGTAAACAGATATGGAGTTTAAAGCGGGGAGGAAATTGTCTTCATCTAAGTTTCCTTAGAAAGGGGAAGCTGTCTTTGCGGGGAACAATATTTTGATAAGTGCTTAAGCCTGAAGCTGGAGGCCTGGGTGTAGGGGTGCAACAGCTCTGCTTGAGACATGAAGGAATTTTAGAATTGTTCGTGTTGCACCAGAGAGAGGCAGGGAGGGAGGGAAGAAAGGAGGCTGCTGTTGAACGTGAATCCCATTCCCCACTGTCTATATTTTCAGAAAGTTCCTGATGTCATGAGTATGTGGGCTCAAGTGGGGTGCGCACCCGTGACATTTATGTGCACATATCTCCATGTGTGGGAAACAAAGGGGCTGGCTTGAGACTCAGAAGCTGGGCAGAGCCCAGGCAGTGCAGGGATGTGGAGAAGAGGCACAGAAGCAGCTCAGAGAGGAGAGACCCCACGATGGGGAGGCCCTTGGGCAAGTTTAACCGAATCTCCATGGGGCCAGGCCCAGCTGACTTCTGGGTGACCGTGTTCTCCCACAGCATTGTTTTGGTGGTTCTCCATTCTGTTTGCTGTATCTACATCAACAGCAACAACATGTACATCCCCCTTGGAAACCCTCCAGGAATTGGAAACCAGGTTTCTGCACTGGGTGGGCTGGAATGCTGGGACTCTCAGACCCATTACAGACCGCAGGCTCAGCCAGGGATAAAAATCTCTAACAGAGAAGAGGCACAGAGTTAGAGGTGTTTGATGCTTTGATGCTTCTGTGCCTCCCTGTCTCACCGAAGTCTCCAGTTGGAGGATGGGGGCAGCACCAGCATCTTCCGGCTCTTGGCTCTGGTTAGGGCTAGACTGGTGGTATCAGGACCCTCTCCCTATTGGGGATGTATAACTGGGGCAGGGCCAGGGCCACAGGAAGCAGACGGGATTGGTCATGTAGAGAGGGTCCTTAAAAGAGCCTGGAGCCTTTGGTAGTGACATCTTCAAGCCTAGAGAGGCAAAGGGAGAGCTAAGCCTTTAACCAGAAAAGCTTCTTGTTGGCCCCCAGAGTCCCACCTCTGTCCCCTCAGCTGTTCTTTCCAGGGATTGTTCTTGAAAGCAGTAAGGAAAGGAAAGTGACAGGCCCAGGCCCGAAGGTCAGGTTTCTTATGCATTCCAGGGGCTCCCTCATCTCTCCATCCCTACACCTGGCTCCCCTGAGAACCACCCCCAGGGCTAGGGTGAGATGGGCCTCTTCAGAATTCATGTGCAGCCCAGACGGCTAGTATGCAGGAAAAGCCCCTCTGGTGGCCTCTGAGACACTAAGGAGACCCTTCACCAGAACTGAAGTGGTATTGGCATGGAGAACCTGCTGGCAGCCGCTGAACAAAGGAGCCAGGTTAGCCTTTCTCTGTCTGGTGTGGAACAGTAAATGAGGGCATTGTTAATGCCTGGAGAGAGATTTCCTGGGGAGCTGGACAGGGCCGTGTGCCCACCAGCCCCTGCCCTTGCTGGGCAGCCTCCTAGAATCTACATTGACCCTCAGTCTCGCACCTTACTGGGCCTTCAGGAAGTTCAGGCTTTTGTGGTAGGCGGACTACACATCCAGTGCCAACAGTCGGGGAATATCTGGGTGTCCCCACAGCTGGTCCCAGGGAAGGCTGGCAGGGGTCTTTTTTTCTATTGGGTGACTGGAAGAGGCCACCTCGGTCTTCCAGACGGCCTCCATCTGCTTCCCCTGTTGGCTGAGAGTGGGGCATTTGGAGAACGTGTAAAGCAGCAGAGTTAGAGACTGAGATGCAAGAGGCTCTCCAGAGCCACCAGGCCCAAGACTCGGCCTCATCTCCTTCCTTTCTCAAATGGAGTGTGTCACTGCCCTCCTTGTCTCCCCTCCAATACTGAGTCTGATTCTCACTTCTCTTGGGCCCCTCTGGCTGAGGAGCTGCTGGAAGAGGCTCCCAGGGTGGCCCCTGTCCTTCAAGGAACAAGCCCTGGGGCAGAAGCCCTCATCTAGCATGCAAAGGTGGGTGTGGACCAGGGTCTTTTTAGCTGCCCAGAGGTTCACTGTCTCCAGAACTTGGAGGTCACATGGTGAGAGAATCAGGCTTGTTTATAGGACAGACCAATGGCAGATGCCAAATCGATGCGCGGGGTAGAAAGGTTGTAAGTTTTCAGGCGTGGGTCCCCAGAGGCTTTCCATTGCATAGTTTGAAACGCACTAGGTCAGACTAGTGCCTGAAGCCCACACGCTGTGACACACACCCCACCTCTGGGTCAGTGGCCAGCACTGGGGAGGGCAGCTGAGAAGACAGGCACTTTGCAACTCATAGGGTGATCTTGGCCTGTTGGTGCCCTCACTTCACTGCTTGCCTTCCCAGGCTGGTCACCCCTGCTCCCTGCCTCTTCATACAGCTCCTGCCCCCTCAGCTTCCCAGCACCTACCGGGCCATCTGCAGGGGCACACATTCCCAGTGCTTGGACTGAAAGGGCTGCTTGTAGGTGGGGCCGCTGGGGCAGATGTGCCGCGGTGAGGCTGCAGGCAACTTGCATTTCTTCGGCTTTGGCGAGGTAACCTCAGGGATGTTCAGGTGAATGTTCCACTCCAGCTGGAGCTAGAGGAACCAGCAGAGAGGCATCAGGGAAACAGAAAGTTATCTCCTCTGTAGGTTGGGAGGAGGCTTTGCCTGTTTGTTGGTGCCCCTGCTAGACTCAGGGCTGAGTGGAGAGGGTAAGGCCCAGGGAATCCCTTCAATTAGAAACCCTGGAACCACAGGGTATCAGACCTTTGCTGGAAACTCCTTGAATTCTTTTTTGCTGGGTTAGTTGCTGTTTTCTCCTTTGTTGTGAGGAAGCTGGAGAATGGGCAAAACAGCAAGGAAGAAAATGAAAAGAAACCAGAGCAGTGGAACTCCAGAGCAGCTGCAGGCAGAGTTCATGGCAGGGGGCCAGGTTGTGCCTGGCCTGCACTGGGTATCTTTTCATCTAGCCCCAGCCCTGGCACTGGGCAAGGAGCTGGGGGAATCTTCGTAGCCGCTCAGAATTGTCATGTAGTCCCTTTCATTCTCAACCCCAGAACAAACTTAGCAAGTCTAGACATCTCCAGGAGATTATCCAGACTGGTATAAGGTGATATGAAATCTCCATGGCCAAGGCTCTTCCAGCTGCCTGATGTCAGCCCTCACACCGAATCCTCAGCATGCTGCCTCCCCTAGACTAAGGCCACTGCCGCTCAGGACTCGGGGGGTGGCAGTACCTCCTGACCCAACCCTAGGGCTGGTCTCAGCAGGCCCTGACTCACAACTGTGGGATCCTCCAATCCCTCCAAGCTGCCGGCTGTCCCCCAAGGGACCACGTCAGCACTTGCTGCTTTTTGCAGCCTGAGCCTCAGGTCTAGAACTGAGGGCTGCTCATCCCAAAGGCAGTGTTGCGAATGAAGGAGTCTGGTAGGGAAAGGCCTCATACTCATTGGTGGTGCAGAGAGCTGTTCCTGTCATATGAAAGATGGATGTGGATATAAACTCATCCTTGTATATGGGGACAAAATTAATAGTCCCAAAGGGTGTGAATTCTAATTTGCTGGGTTAGTTCCTGTTTTTTGTCTGTTGTAGATAATCTGGAAACAGGCAAAACAGCAGTGAAAAAAAATTAAATGAAGACAGATGTTAAATCTATATCTATATCTATATATCTATAATAAAGAGTTAAAACAGAAGAATATAGGAGTCTTTTATTCCATCATTCCCAGGTTTCAGCTATTATCTCTTTGGCCTTTTTTTTTTTTTTTTAATTCTCTACTATTTTGCATTCATCTTAAATGTCAGAAGTTTCAAGGATTCTAATATGAATGTAAGTTTTTCTTTTTTTTGGTAATGTAGCATATAGACAATTATTGGTATATACATGGATCCATTATCCCTCAGTAGTCTTTGGCTCATAGATTAGTAATCATTTATCTAGACAAAGAGAAAAGGAAGTTTGGGTGTCAGAGACAGTGTTTCGGAGTTTAAAGAGGCTTTCTGGATATGAGAGAATGGGAGAGGAGAGAAAAAAGAAAATCTCATTATTGTGAATTATCAGTTGGACACACTTTAGTGATTATGAGTGACCCAATTAAAAATTGGGGTTACTTTTTTATTATTTTTGGTGGTGAGTAAGCATTATATCTCTGAATGGGATACAATGGCAAAACCAGATCACATAACGTCTTGGGATTTATTTGGGTTGTACTTGATGTATGAATGTTAAAACCAGGTCTATACATTTTAGATCATTACTTTACTGAATTCTGCCAAGGTAAAGTGGGGTGGGAGTGTTAAAGAGTAAGCTTTCTCCTAGTATTAGTTTTCAGGGGGAAAACGTGAGGTCTCAGCAAGCAGGCTTCTAAGTATAGAGATTAAGAGAGTGAGTGAGACCTTCTCATTCCATTGGCCTAAGCCAATGGTTCCTAACCCACAGGGCATGGTCCCCTGAGGGGCAATGGATTTTTTGCCAAGAGCCCAAGAATGTAAGCACATACTCAAAATTGTACACTGAATAAATAAAAAGTAAAACTATTAGTATATAGGAATTCTTGGAACTTTTAACATTTAAAATGGATCTTAATATAAGATTTAAAAAAAAATTTTTTTTGAGACAGAGTCTCACTCTGTCAACAGGCAAGAGTGCCGTGGCGCCATCTTGGCTCACTGTTGCCTCTTTCTCCTGGGTTCAAGTGATTCCCAAGTAGCTGGGACTGCAGGCACATGCCACCATGCCTAGCTAATTTTTTGTATTTTTAGTAGAGTTGGGGTTTCTTCATGTTGGTCTGGATGGTCTCGATCTCTTGACCTTGTGATCCACCCACTTTGGCCTCCCGAAGTGTTGGGATTACAGGTGGGAGCCACTATGCCTGGCCAGGAATATTTTTAAGACCTAAACTAGTGATAATGGAATAAGAAGGACTAGTTTACCATTCTGTAAACAACTAGTAGGCCAAACAGAATAGATGAAAAAATGATGTTTATCCATTCAGATAACAGGCAGTGCAGATGAATCATCCCCAAAAGGAATGAAACAAATGAGACAATGTCCAGGCCCCAGCACAGGGCAGGAAACCCAAACAGAGGCCAACAGCCTTGCTGAGATGAGGAGACAGTGTTCCAGGATCAGGGAAGCCAAGGTGACGAGAATTTGAAAAGCAGAGTACCAGAGAGGAGGAAGCCACATGACAAGGAATCTCCAAAGCTCTGCCAAGGGGTCCCATTCAGTGTCTGTGCAGGCCTGGGAGGAAACCACCAAGGCTGGGGGAAGAATCACTGGACAAGACCAGGCAGAACCATCCTCAGAGCTCACATATCCCTGGGAAGAGTTTGTGTTCACACCTGTAAAATACCAAAAGAAAAAACTGCCCACCTAGAATTCTGCATCTGGCAAAAACATCTTTCAAAACTGAAAGCTGAATAAACCTTTTCAGACACCAAAGCTGAGAGGATTCATCACCAGCAGATAAGCACTGTGAGAAATGCTAAAGGAATCCTTCAGACAGAAGGAAAATGATACCCAAAATACATTTGGATCTACACAAAAGAGTAAGGAGCACTGGGAATGATAAGTGTGGGGGTAAATAGATTATTTTTTTCCCTTTAAGGGAAAAGTAATCAATGTACAGCTGTCCATTGCTATCCATAGGGTATTGGCTCCAGGACTCCTCACAGGCACCAAAATCTGTGGATGCTTGCATCCTTATATAAAATGGTGCATAGTTTGCATATCACCCATGCACATCCTCCTGTATATATTAAATTATCTCTAGATCACTTATAATGCCTAATATATCATATAAATGCTATCTAAATAGTTGTTATATTGTTTAGGGAATAAAAAAAAAAGTCTGTTTGTTTTCAGTACAGACACGATCATCCATTTTTTTCTCCAGATATTTTTGATCTGTGGTTGTTTGAACCCACAGATGCAGAACCCACAGATACAGAGGGTCAACTGTATTAGGGGATTTATAAGTTACATAGAGGCAAAATGTATGACAACACTAGAATAAAGGCCAGGAATGAAGAAATAGATGTATACTGTTGTAAGGTTCTTACACATGAAATAATATTGTTTGAAAGTAGACTATGATAAGTTAAAGATTTATGTTGTAAATCCTAGAGCAACCATTAAAAATAACAAAACAGGCTGGGCATAGTAGCTCACACCTATAATCCCAGCACCTTGGGAGGCTGAGGCGGGTGGATTACATGAGGCCAGGAGTTCTAGACCAGCCTGGCTGACATGGCAAAACCCTGTCTCTGCTAAAAATACAAAAAAATTAGCTGGGCATGGTGGTGGGTGCCTGTAATTCCAACTACTCAGGAGGCTGAGGCATGAGAATCACTTGAACCTGGGAGGTAGAGGTTGCAGTGAGCCAAGATCGTGCCACTGTACTCCAGCCTGGGAGAGAGAGAGAGAGAGACTGTCTCAAAAAATAAAAAACAAAACAAAGAGGTATGGCTAACATGTCAGGAGTGGAGATAAGATGAATTTACTTTAAAAACTCCATTACTCCATAAGAAGGCAGGAAAAGAGGGGGGAAAAAAAAGATAAGACAAATAGAATTGAAGAGCAAAACTATATATTTAAACCCAGCTGTGTTGACAATCACATCAAATATAAATAGCCTAAAACCACCCAATAAAAGGCAGAGAGTGACAGATTACATTAAAAAAGGAAGACCCAATTATATCAATTAAAACCCCAGTTTAAATATAAAGACACAGTGCTTACTTCAGTAGCACATATACTACAATTGGAATAATACAGACCAGACTACTGGCATGGCCTCTGTGCAAGGGTGACATACAAATTCATGAAGTATTCCAATAAATAAATAATATATAAACACAGAGAGGTTAACAATGAAAGAGTGGAAGAAGGTATACCATGCAAATACTAAAAAATATTTTAAAAGCTGTAGTGACTATGTCAATATTGATATACACTGAAGAGCAAGGAATATAATAGAAACAAAGGGCCAGGTGCTGGTGGCTAACGCCGGTAATCCCAGCACTTTAGGAGGCCCAGGTGGGCGGACTGCCTGAGGTCAAGAATGGGTTCTCAAGATGGCGAGAACCCATCTCTACTAAAAATACAAAAATTAGCCAGGTGTGGTGGTAGGCACCTGCAATCCCAGCTACTCGGGAGGCTGAGGCACCAGAATCACTTGAACCTGGGAGGTGGAGGTTGCAATGAGCTGAGATGGTGCCACTGCACTCCAGCCTGGGTGACAGAGCAAGATCCCATCTCAAAAAAAAAAAAAAAAAAAAAAAAGAAAGAGGGCCATTTCATAAGGATAAAAGTCCAAATGTGGGGCCAGGTAAGGTGATTCATGCTATAATCCCAACATTTTGGGAGGTCAAGGTGGTAGGGCTATTTGAGGGCAAGACTTGGAGACCAGCTTGGGCAACATAGTGAGACCTCATCTCTATAAAAATAAATAGTAAAGGTCAAATTTTCTTTTCTTTTCTTTTCTTTTTTTTTTTTTTTAGGATGGGGTTTCACCATGATGGCCAGGCTGGTCTTGAACTCCTGACTTCACGTGATCCACCCACCTCGGCCTCCCAAAGTGCTTGGATTACAG